ATACGAAGATGCACTCAAAACGGGAATTATTTTCCATAAAGATAGCCAAATCCTGCTCGCCGAAAAATTTATCAACGCAGAATTTCTCGTCCCATTTCCTAAGTATAGTTTCACCATCCAAGACAACGTGACACAACTTCTCTCAGTATTGTCTACTAAATGGAAATCAAAGTCAACAGACTGTAGCCTTAACTTCGCAAAACAATTCAACGCCAGCGTGGAATCCTTCAATGTTGATTGGATACTCCGCAAATTACAGAGTGAAGTTCAATTGGCACAAGACGAGGTCTCCAGTATCAAAGTTGAAACATCTCACTTTCTCTTTAACGAAGCTGAAGAGAATAGATCAAGGAGAAGGCGAGGGGCACCACTGGCACTAGCCACTCTTGCCGGAGTTGGACTCTTTGGACCAGGAATCCTGATGGACGATTCCTCAAGTTGTGGTCTACTAGGAATTTTCGGCACCTGCCAAGATAAGAGTCGAGAAAACGCGAAGAACATCAAGGAACTTCATGAATACACGATCAGGTTGACAGAATATGTTGCTGAATACGAAGAACAGGTTAACGAAAAGTTCTTTTTAGTTGCTGACAAACTTTCCGAAGTTAACAATATTCAGAAAGAGATGATCAAGAACCAACAAGAGATTTGGAAAGTGATCGAGGACCAGTTCACAGTAATCAAGAACAATTTTGAGATCCTTAGGGACTGTGATCAATATCTATTCTCAAACCAGCAACTGAACTTTAACTTCGATACAGCGGCTTCTCTTCTGTCGCTTCTTTACTCAGATGTCAAGAGTTATAGAGCAGCGCTGTACGCTTTCAAAACAAACATAATGAATGCCATTCCTACATTGTTGGACAAGCGACTCACGATGTCGTTAGTACCTAGAAATTCACTGATCGCGATTCTCAATTCAGTATATGAAAGCCAGAAAGACGCAGCAGACAGACTAACACTAGCCATTCCGACAACCGACTTGCATTCCTACTACGATGCAAAACTTCTTCGAGACGTCGTGACGGTCGATGAAGGCCTACTAATGACTCTGGCGATACCGATGTCATCAAGTCTGACAGTCTTCTCTGTATATCGAGCACATTTGATCCCGATGCCACAACCGGAGCAGAAGGATGCGATAAAGTGGAAAACTGAAGGAGACTACTTCGCGATTTCGGAGAACGGAATGGAGACATCCGTGCTCACGCGAGAGCAGTACGAAATGTGTCTCGGTTCATCTACCTACAGGATTTGCCATCAGACGATGGAAACTCAATTGGGCAGATCATCGTGTCTCGCAAACCTCTTCTGGCCAAATCCAGTAGCAACTCTGGCCGTCTGTGAAACGGAAAAGGTCATACTACCTACTCCAGAAAAGGCCACGAATTTAGGATACGGTATTTGGCTCATTACATCAGCCTCTTCATCTTTTTCTTTGTGGGAGTACAACCTGAATGAGGTTCACACTCCATCTCGCAAGGAACATCCAGGATGCAACATATGCATCATTACACTAGATTGCAGGACGCAATTAGCTTCACGGAACATTAAGATTCGACCCGACCTTGGAAGTTGCGACAAGATTCCGGCAAGACGAATCGACGTCAAACTGTCCGACCCATTGAAGCACCTCATGTCGGAAATTCCGGGGATAGATGAACTACCATATTTCAAATCAAGAACAGACGCGGGGATTAGACTTTTGGAAGAAGTAAAGGCGAAACTTGTAGACAGCCCGATCGTGACAAACATGGAACAGTTGGATGAAATATCGAAACCAATCGCGCACGGAATGAAACTTCTAAAACCATCGCTTACTGAAAAACTCGAAAGCTATGTCCCAATAAAACTTTCACTGACCTTAACCGTAATTGTCTTCATTGGAAGCACGTTGCTTCAATGCCTGTGCACTTACCTCTTCCATAGATTTAAAGCGGTCAGGGATATAACACCACGATTCCTGAAAACAGCGCATGGTGACATCCGAATAAAGCCCGTAGTAGCAATGGACATCGATGAAAGCGAGAGAGACGAGAAGACAACCAGACTCATGGAATCGAGAGAGGAATGGCAGAATAAATACACTGTACTGGACGTGATTGATGAAACTGTTTCGGTGCCACAACAACGTAGACAAATTGATGATGGAATGTTAAATGACGAGGCGAGATCAATGAGAGGCAGCAAAATGGACATGGCAAGATCAAGATCATTCAGCGAAATACCAGGAGATCAAAGGACAACGTCCAGACACATTAACGGAGAGTTTAAACTGACTCCTAATTCAGGAATTCTAGGCATGAAACCACCATCAGTTGAAATTGGAGCCCAGTATACCGAGCAGACGGCCTAACCGTTAGGGAAAACTGAGACAAGAGCAAGTTTCCATTACAATTTTCATTAACTGAAACCTGAGTAAAATCACTCAATTGATCAAATCATAAATGACTGACCCTAATGACTCTCATGGTGGCTTAATGAAGAATCAAACTCATAATGGCTGAAATCTTTAACATATTTGCGCAGAACCTAAGTTCTGATACTTTTTTCATTTAATTACAACTTATAAAGTGTTATAATCTGTTAATTTCAATGAGTGTATACTCGCTTTATATTGATTAATAAATAAAATGTATTTGTTCCCAAGTTAAATCCTTACAGTTTAACTCCACGTATTTTGATTATTTTAAAATTAGCGTTAAAATTGATTTAAATTTAGTGAAATTGAATTGTACCGTATAACTGTTGCTAAATTTATTGCGAAGTAAATTATTGAATTAAAAGCGATTTGATGCACATTTAAATTACTATGATTTAGAGTTTTGACGTAGCAGTTTTCTTTTGAAATGCAGCTAAACGAAGTAGACTAAAGTTTCGCTTAAAATTTTACCCATTTTATTCATTTGAAATTCTTACCTCAGTGCTAATTCCAATCAATGCGTAAAATTTATGTAAAAACAGGTTATGTGACACCTCTAAAGTGATGTCATTGATAGCCATGAAATTATTGCCATATTAGAAAATGTATAATGTTAAAATCTCAAGCATGCAGTTGAATAACTTATTATTGACACAATGTAAATAGTGTGTTCAGAATTGAGAAGCATGCGATAGTTAGTCTAATAAACAGTCAGAAAGAGAAATTGAATAAAACTAACCAAAAGCTAAATTGTTAGTGAGCTGAAGATTAGGGAGAGATTCATGCTGTCGGGGCCCAAGCGTCCGTGATAAGATACTGCAACAATAACATCTAGAAAGAACATGCAAATAGAGACCAACAAGCAGTATGTCATAAACATCATGCAAGACGCTTGAAATTCAAACTAGCAACTGCACAGAACTTACGAAGCGGAAACAAGGCCAACAATGTTTGCGCAGACATCAGTTGAGTCGAAAACAAAAAAAATATTATGTATAAAAAACTTTAAAAAAGTCCCCTCTGCAGCTACACTGCTGAAATTAGTACCCAGTCAGTATTTCAAATTCAATGTTTTGGGAAATTGAGCATGTCAGCTGAATGGAATGGTAGGTGAGCAACTGAAAGTCTACCTTCCGATTTAAAAACGCTTGCTAATCGCCAGCATAATCAATCCCTTTAGCAGAAAAACTAAGAGTGGTGCCGGGCGTCAAGCCGACGGAAATTGAAACCAAATCAAAAAAATTAGGGACTTCAAGACGAACAATTTGACAAAAAGTTATGAAGTATAATATGAAATCCGTTTCAAAGAATTTCAAAGATATTGGTTTTTTGATAAATTTTGAGCCTCTAATTGATGTTTAGGAATACTAAAAATAAAAACTATGGTGAAGATGTTTCTGATGTGCATAATTCCTGCATTTCAAAGTCCTGGCGATCTAACTATCTGATACCAATCATAAGTGGTGCATTGTTATTAAGAACGCTTATTATGAACTAAACTATCCTTAAGTTTTAACAATAAACATTTTGCTGATAAAAATTCAGCGTTTTGAATTTTAGATTGTGGCATGAAATTCCTTCGGCTTCAGCGTTTTGAATTTTAGATTGTGGCATGAAATTCCTTCGGCTTGAAAACTTGTCAGCTTGTTATCGTAGACCCACCTAAATGGTAACATTAGCACTAAAGCTGATTTAAAAAAAGTTTTTTTTCCACATGAAGAGCTTCTGGTAGATTTAATAATAATAATCATAATAAATTGTTTGCAAATTAGACAATTTATTATGATTATTATTTCGAATGGTTTAGCGAGACGAGCTTCTAAACAAGTTTTTGAATAGAACTCATCGAATGCGGCGGCCTCAAACTTCTGAATGAGTACCAATAATTGGCACTTTCAATAATTCGAACTTTTATTTCCGTGTCGTTCCAACCACTGAATGTTGGGGAACTCAATATATGGGCGTCTTTCAGTCATTTTCTTTTCTAACTTTTACACTAAAAATCAGGAAAAATTATCCACTCAAAAAAATGTCAGATTGAGCAGAGTAAATTTCAAAAAAATTTCGAAGTTTTATTTTTATTTTTTTTTCAGCGAAAATTTTTTCATTTCATTTTATCTGAAAAGGCTTTTTCTTAAACTTCATTTCAGACATGTTCAAGAGACTGGTTTTTGAATTCTTCGTCGTGAGTCGCAATCTCAAGTGCTTCGTCGTCATAAGAGCAGTCTTGCTTTGAATATTTGCTTGCAATAAATGCTATTTATAGTAACTTTAAATTGGTGGACAAAAATTTACTTGCATAAAATGAACACGAACGTTCAACTGCTTTTTCTGCACTGAGCTTATCATTTTTTATAATGCCTATTTATTTTGACGAAATATGAAAACTTGTGGCATCAATGGTACAAAATACTTAAACTTTTATGGTCCAAAAACGACTGAGCATATTTTCAGTGCTTTATTGAAAAGATTTTAAAAAAGCTCGAATTAAACGTTATAGCTGTGTTCTGCTCTCTACTTTCAGTAAACGCACGAAAGGTCTGAATAAAAACTTCGTTCAAAATTAGTTGGCCACCAGCTTTCATTAGCCAGCTGAAAAATCACCGAGCTTTTAATCTAATGGGCGTAAAATTACAATGATGACAAACAAGCACATTTTCGTTAGTTTTCAACTCTCGTTTTCAAAATACGCTGCACAAAATCGCACAATAATACAGTTTGAGTTTTCATAATAGCCGAAAAATTGAACATAAAAATACCAAACATTATTTTCACGTAATATTATTTTGCAAATCGCTCGAATTGACAAAAAACATCACGATCGATTTTTTATCTCAAATTAAAATACTTAATTTAAAGAAAAAATTATATTTCTGCAACAACTGAAAGTGACAGAGCTTAACTAAAGATAATGTCCCAAAACTCTTCACAGACCACGTATGCCAGTTGTGGCACGGAATACGGCAATGGTTGCGAGGAATCGGGTGAAGATCTGGGCGAATCCTCGTTACAGGAAGTCTATGCCGGATCTGATAATAACCTTAACGGAAACGCGGTATACGGACGTAAGGACAAAAAAACTGAATATTGCGATACATATTACGGACAGATGGACGGAAACGACATTTACGGCGACAGTGGGGACAGTGACGCTACGATTTTGCGACTCCCTCATCCTATAAAGCCAAGACTATCACCTATTACCATCGATCCCTCCAAGAAAGGAAACGAACACGAATACTTAAACCCAAAACCTGCAAAACCTGTCATCATTGACCCTTCCAGGAAAAACGGTAAATTTGCATTGAAACAGCCTGAAAACAACTTTGAAAAACCTGCAGATGTGATACGAAAAAACTCGCTGCCAATCAGTCCTCTGACTTATGTAGACCCAAGAAAATTGCTTCCTTCTCCTGGAACCACAGACACTAAAGATAAGCGGAAACATTCACATGCAAAGAAACATTCAGTTGGACGCGATCCAGATCATGACTTGAAGAAGACCGGTTATTTCCAAGAATTGAGCCGAGATGAGGCGGGTCAGTAAGCATGAGATATCAAACAACGCTCAATTAATTGCAAAAGGAAACAAGGATGGCCGGTTATTTTGCAAATAGCACATAATATTCGACCATAGTCTTTAAAATACTCTGACGTAAAACTATAATTAAGGCATATTCTACAGTCACAATTATATATGCAAAAGGCAAAAGAGTTTTTGCGTAAAATGAATAGAAAAACAAAAATAAAGAAAAAGTCAGTTTTTTTTCAAATCTTTTAGCAGACAATTTTTTGAAAATTTTGAAGTCTTTTTGATTAGCAAAATGGCAATGAAAAACTCCAAAAACTAATTTTATCTGCTTAAAACTTATTTTCCAGGGCTTAATTTAAGCATAAATAAGCTGTTGCAAGCCTTCTCGCTCGTTTTATTTGCTCGAAATAGGAATGAAAATCAAGAATTTAAACGCGTTTTTCTCGATACTGAAAAAACTTTTTCAAAGTTTTTCAATGTCGGTCGTAGCATGATATGTCATTCGTCACTTTCCGACAACTATTGGTGGTGCCTGAATATGTGTGTGAAAAAAAAGAAAACAAGGATAGCCGTTGCTGCGCAAGTAGCACAGAATTTTCCCACCACATTTTCAGAAAAAAAAAAACTTTTTTCTTCAAATTAATGGTTTTTTGTAGGTCGTGTGATAATACAACAAAACAAACGCGTAGAAATTTTGTGAATCGGGCATGAACAATTCTATTTTTTCCAATTTCTGGCACTAAAAACTTGAAAACATTTGTGAAAGATACTTTTTTGCCAGAGAAGAGCAGAATCAAGCTTCCAAAAGTTTTCTTTTTAGTATGAAATCATTTTTAGCCTAAACATCTTATAGAATTTATTAAAAACTTTGCTCGATTGCTTTACTTGCTCAAAAACACGAAAATAGACGAAAAATTGAAAGTTTGAAAGCGTCTTTCTCGACACTAGGAAAAAATTTTGGAAATTTTATAATGTCGTTCGTGACGACTAAAAGGCTTTAACATGATATATCACTCGACCCCGTCCGATGATTATATGTGGTACCTGCTTTTGCTTGGAAAACAGAAAAAAAAAATTTAAATTAAAACCCACCCGAATACAAAGTTCCTCTCCATTTTCAATGGTCGGAACAGAAAACAAGGATAGGCGGCTGCTGTGCGAGTAGCTTGGAATTTTCTGACCACATTTTCAGAAAAAAAAGTTTGTTCTTTTTTTCTTCAAGTTAATGTCTTCTTTGTGCATCGTGTGATGATAAAATTATATAAGTGCGTAGAAACTTAGTGAAGTAGGCATGAACGATTCCAATTGTCTTCAAAAAACAGAGGAAAAAAACGAAAAAAAATTGTATACTACATTTGTGTTTTTAAAACTTTTTTTGCCATCTTTATATATATATATCACTCGATTCTGTTAGACAATTATTTGTGGTTCTTGATTTTGTGTGAAAAACAAAAAAAAGAAAACCACACTCGAATACAAAGTTCCTCCCCATTTTCAATGGTCGGAACGAAAATGCTTAGTTCTACAGCAGGTGTTAATGATTTTTTTTTTCGTGGAGGGTGTGCTTGCTCAGATTAGCTATCAAGTTCCTTCGTGGAGCTCTGGTTGATTTAGAAAAAATGTAAATAGCTGAGAAAAACTACGCGTCTAACTCCAAAAATCATCGATTTTTTTTCAAATAGTATTCAAATCGTCGCAACAATAAGCAAAGTGATGGCTTATGCGTTTTTAAGATGAAAGTTAGTCTCTTTTCCACTTTCCCCTCACATTTGCTTTTCAGTTCTGAAAAACTAATTTTACGTAGTCATCGTTTAATGAAGCAAACTAGCTATTGTGAACAAACTAACTATTGTGAACACATTTGTTCTTCATACCTTATTTCGTAAAATCACGCGTTCAGCCATAAAAACAGGTAAGACAACTGAGAAAACTGAATATATGAAAAGTGGGGAGAGTGGTGGACAAGAGCTGAAATGTATTGTGGTCTTGAGGTCAAATTGCGGTATAACTTCATGAATGTTTTCGGCGATATAATTTAATGAAAAACTGCAGTCCTGAAAACCTCACGAAGATTCCACGTCTATCTAAAAAAAATTAAAGGATTGCGCTTAAATATATTTTCTCTTACTTTTATTCAATAATTTTTGGGCTCCTCCCACTCTACCCCTCACATTGCAAAGTTTTCAATTTCATAAAACTAAGCAGGCGATTGCAGCTACATTGGAGCTTTGAATCGACAGGCTACACCAATATTCATCAGATGAAAGATACTTCGAAACAGATTTATATTTATTTATTCTTGTCATAATTGTTCTATACATACTCCCCCTGAACTGCAAATTCAAAATTCCAATACAATTAAAGAATTTGATTGGCTAATGTAAACTCAATGCTTAAATTTTGAAATACATTAAGAAACTTTTGAACAAACTTAAGCGGGTGAGGGCAAGTGACAAAAAACCGAGGTTTTTAAACCATTCAAAAGAATATCACAAAATCTACATTTCAGAAAAACAACTACGCGCCAATGGCAAAGAAGGTCAATTCATTGTGCGGCCCAGCAGTGAAAAAGATGGCCTCAATTTCGCGCTGAGTTTTTACTCAGACACAATCGGCAATAAGGTGAATCACGTGAAGATCTCCTATTTGGCAGAAGAACACAAATGGATTCTGGGAACAGACAAATCTTGTATAGACAGATTCAGCAAAGTCACAGATTTGTGTGATATGTACATTCAGAACGGTATCAAAACTGAAGGCCACCCTGTGGCATTACAATTGTCCAAGCCTCTCAAGATTGCAAAGAGAAGAAATTCCCTGTTCTGAGACTTTTTAACTTACAACTTGAAGTTAATTACCACTAGAATCAATTATATATTAACATAATAAACAAAAATTTATAGCTTTTTTTCAGTTCAAACATTTTCACCAATAAAAATTATGAAATGAGGCAAGCACAAAAATTTAGCAACCAGATAAAGTGAAAATAATGATTGTAACAAAAAAGCAACTAAGCTGAACATTTTTCACGCAATTACAGTCAACACACAACGCTTGAGGATGATCGAGCTTTGTATAATCTGTGTAACTCGGAACGTTGATGAAGCCTTTCAGTCAATACTCCGATCCCCAAAAGAGAATTCAAATATTCTCGTGCAGCTGAGCTTCGATCCACCTGCGTTGCTCAAAAACTTGCCGAAGTTCCAAGCAAAGATATGACGATTTAACAAAATTGCTTTATATTGTCAACTGCAACAAGTAATACAATAAAGGAAAAATAAAAAATAAGTTGTTGCTGAGCACATAGCAGTTTCTGAGCACAGCTATCATAGCAAAAACCTTGGGAAAAAAAAACTTTTTTTTTTTGCTTATTTTTGAAAAAATTTTGAAATTCTTCAAAAAAAAGAAAGAAATTTTAATAAACTGTAAGATAGCGTCAGCTCTACTTTACAACAAATGTGTCATGAAAAGACTAAAAGACAAAAAAAAACTTTTTCCTCGGTTATTTTCAAAAACTATTCAAAACCAGACCGAATTAATCTCATTGCAGAGGTGTAGTGGAATATTTAATATCTGAGAGTTCACAAAAAACTATCAATAAAAAAAACCGATTTTTCGGAGTTGGTTTTTTTTCAGAAAATTGAAATTTATCAAAACCTTGAAGAAAGCCATCTTTAAAACATTGGATCTCCTATTTAACATGACGGATGGCCTGCAAATTGTATAGAAACATTTTTTTGTTTCGACCCTTGAAATACTTTTAATAAGCATTTGAATACTTTTGAAAACTTTAAACAGTTATCGAGAAAACTTTTGTTTAAAAGTTTAGTATATTTTATTGTTTTTAATTAAATCCTCAACTTAATTAACTGTTGTTGATTGAGAAATCATTATCTTTCGTCGCGGTTGTCTGGATTTGTTTATTGCATCTCGTACTTTTATTTTGTAAACAACACAATTGTACAAAAATTCAGTAAGAGAAATACAAAAAGTTAAGTTTCGAACTTGTGCGAACTTTCGAAAGCTACAATAATATCAAGGGCCAAAATTATCAGAAACATTCACACACTTAATATACAACACAATTCAGAATTCAAGACCATTTTTTAAAAAAGTTTTCACAGAAAAAAAAACAATTAGAACCAACCAATGGTCACAGTTCACAGTTAGCCATTAGTTTTTTTAAGAAGCTACTTTTGCTAATAAAAAACACAATTAACAAGACAAAACACGACCCTCAAAAACCCATACGAATCCAACATGAATCTCATAAAACCTAAAACACGATTCTTGATTTGATAATAGTCGCAAGTAGTTAAATTGAGCGTGTACAGTCCTTGAAGACCTTTTTGCTTAAAAAAAACCAACACGGCATTAATAAGTGTCTACGCTCGTTCAATAACTCCTAACTATTACGAAGTGACTTGTTCTTATCAATTTGCCTAACCAGCAGTTTGCATCTAAACTGCTGACTTTTTTGAAACTTTACTTTGAGGCGAAACTACACTTAGCCAACGCAAGCGGATAAATGGCATTAATAAAGGAAAGAAAGGTAAAATTTATTTTAAAAAGTTTGCTATGAGCCGGAATCGAGCTCACGACTTGGAGTTTAAAAGTCTAAGGTTCAGCATCTGCGCCATAAGCACTTAAAATAGCTAAACAATAGGTGCCCAGCTATGGAAGAACATTTTTGATATAATTTTTGAAAAATGTACTGAAGGGAAAGGTAAGCGTAAACTGAAAGGTAAGCGTAAAGTGTGTAGCTGTTTTCGAAAATACGGAGAACTAACTTTTGCAGAGGAGATTACAACTACGAGTAATACATTTCTTTTTTTTATTGAATTGAATTATGCGGGAGATATCCTTACAACTTGTTCTTTCGATTGAACCTTAATCTCAAATTTGGCATCTTAACTTCGGTAACAGCAAAGAATTTCCTAAGAAACGAAATTTTGCTGAGTCAAATGTTCTACAAATTTTATGGCGTAGCCGCAATGAAGAAAAATTTTTTAGCGCACGTTCTTTCGATAGAGTCTTTAGTATTAGATTTGTCATTGTAGTTTTTAGAAAAAGTAGAAAAAATCCAAAAAACGGTCAACATTTTGAAACAAAAAGAGATTAACGGAATATCCAGGCAAACAAAGGAGTAGCCCAATTCTCAAATGACACCATTTGTTTTTTAAAATCGGTAAAATAGTTAAAGCAAACACGACTTTGCAAACGCGAGCGAACACTCAGGAGCTTTGAAATGCACTAAAACTCAGGTTAATCAGTGAAAAATTAAAAGCAATAAGCTAAAAGCAACCACGCTAACTTTGCACGCAATAATTTAGTATGTATTATACCAAATAAAACATAAATTATGTATCCAAAATTCCCACGAACGAAGCAATTCAATTTTGAAAACATCTGAAAAGGGATTTTAGTTATTGTACTGTTGTACCAAACAAGTAGCTTCTTTCGGTTCAATTGATGAATTAAAAATGCATCAACTGTGTTAACTTAATAATATTCAAAAGTCAAAACTCGAAAAGCCAATGCAGCCACCTGCCCAAAAAAACCTTTCAACTGCGACTTGGGTTGAAAAAAAAAGTTGCGGCGTACTATCACACTACGCTCCGCTGTGTAATCATTTAAATATGAAATATGATCATATTTTGAGTACCTCCAATTAGATGTCAAAAAGAAAACATGAAATGAGAATTAAAAAAGGCACAATACAATTAAAAACTTATTCGCACCTAGTCAAATTTTGGGAAACCGTCAAATCTTTACATAAAATTACAGCAAATTGGAAAAAATTTTAAAAACTAAAAATAATTTCTAATCGAATTAAAAATCAGCTGACTAAAACAATACTCTAACCAAAACACACTATTTAGAAAAAAAAGATCGACTAATAAGCTCTTGAAAATAAACGAATACAAAATCACTATCCGAACAAAAATCAATATTTATGCTACTTTTCATTTAAAAAATGTTCGATTGTTACTGATGTTATTAAGAAGCTCGAGTACGATACATCAATCGACCTTATCTCACGTTATTACGCAAACTTATTTTGATTGTAAAACACTCGAATACTGAACCATTTTCGAAACAACAAAAAATATATGAAAAATCTGAACCTAAGCGATTAAGAAAAATCAAAAGTCATTTAAGTGTCATGAGTGCTCCCTTTTCTTACAAAAGACGATAACTGCACTGAAGCAAAATAGTCGCAAACCGCATCAATCACTTTGAACTAAAATTAGAAAAGCTTCTTAAATTTTTCAGTTAAAAAACAAATTGAAGAAACTGAGTCACTCTTTTTCAAATATTTAAGAATTTAAATGAACAAAAAGCCGTCGCTTGAAGCTCTGAGATGTTCAAGCTTTGTACCAGGTTTTTGTTTGAGAACTGGAACTTTTTCCATATGCTAGAAGAAAAAAAATTTGCAACTACTCATCATGAAGCTTAAAAAATATGATCATGAAGCTAAAAAAAAAACTGTACAATAAGCAGTTATGCCAACAAAAACAGTCTGAAGAACTCTCTATTGCTTCAAAACTGTCGCTTAGGTTCAGGCGACGACAGCGATTAAGTTTGCCCTTTCAACGCTTTTGAACTTCCATACTAAACATTTATCAATTTTTTATTGGGAAAAAAAAACTGATTTTTTTTTCAACTACTTTTTTTTCAACACAGAGGCAAAATTGCGCTTTACAACACTTGCATTACAAAACAAAAAAGCAGCTAAGTCACAAAAAAATCAAAAATGTCAAGATAAACGGTATCTATTAAAATTAATACGGCTAATTTCGAAACAAACATGCCAAGACAATAGAGTGAGGAATTATCATCGGAAGAAAACTTACCAAGTGGAAACAAAGCCAAAAATATCCTGGCAGAAACACTAAAGCCAACAAAATCAACAAGACCCAAGCCTTATAAAAAGTTAAGCCTTTTCACCCTCAAAACACATATACGCCCTATTAAAAAGCTGTAAAAAAAGAAAAGAACAAAGCCTAAAAAAATCATTGAAAAATCAATACAAAATAAAATATAAGACCCCTTCAAAAAACCAAAAAAAAGCAAGAAAAAATTATACGCAATATGAGGACATCAAGCTGATGTAATCTAATCCGAAACCTATCAAGCCGAAAAAAAAAGAAAAACAAATTTAGTCATGAAAAATTTGAACTGTAATTCTGTTTACGATTTTAGCAATTTTCGCAATCCAGAATTGAGTATAAAAAATGTTTTTCAATTGAAACGACTCAACGTTAGTTCGCTAAGCCAATAAAATTGTTTGAAGCTTTCCGAGAAAAAAAGACAAATATGCGCAGCCAGGGTAAGAAAAGTTACAAACAGCAGAATACCCTGACTGCGCATATTTTTCTTTTTTTAAGAATCAAAACAAAACGAACAACTAAAATGTATATAGCGCGGAGCAAAAATAAGCAATTCTACAATGTGGCAATTAAGCCGACAAAAACATCAACAGAAAAAATTAGCCGACTTTTTTTAATTGAAAAAAAAATCCCGTTTAAAAAAAACAGGTCCTGCCAAATTTGAACCAAAGATTTTTGTCGTCCCAGGCGTATTCGTAACCGCCAGATCAAGTTTGCCAGACACGCAAAAAAATTCAAATCGTCTTGAATTATACCTACACTTACTATTTCGAATTTTGATCGTTCCGTGAACAAAGTTATTTACGGGAAAAAAGTCTAGTAACCGATTGCAATTCCCTTGCTTATCGCAAGCGTGAATATTCGGAAAAAGGTCGAAATCTAACAAACGCCCTATTCTCTCAAATAGCCTTAGCTTACAGACTCAAAAACAAATTTTCAACAAAAAACAAAGCTTAGGACAAAAAAAAATCTTATTCAAACTTGCATTAGAAATAGCCTTAAAACATTTTGCAATTCCCTGGAAAAGAAACTCTGTTTCAGGTACAGCTTTCAAAAAAAGATGAAAGGAACAATTCCAAGCTGAAAAATACATCGATTGCCAATAAATCATTTTTTTAAATATAGGTTACAATTCGAAATTTATAACCTATACTTACCGTTTATATGTTTCGAAACTAGTCGGTATGTCATCTGTACATTCGAACCTATGATATACTTGCAAAGAAAGTAACCTGTACTTTCGAACCTATGTTTCACCGCTTGCAAAGCTTCTCAGTTTTTTTTTCGTTTAATTGTTTACACTTTGTGTAAGCTTGGTTACAAGTTGTGTAATTTCACCGCTTGCAAAGATTTCGAGTTTTTTTTTTCGTTAAATTGTTAACATGAATCTTTCAAAAAACTTAGGATAAAAACAAAAACTGAATTGCAAAAAAATTTTATTTAGTTAACTTCGGCCAAAAATTATACTTTATAGCGAACCGTACATTACTAAAAAATATTTTGAAAAGCAAAAAAGAAAAATTGTACAGTTGCAAAAAATTCATCTTTTCATCCCGCAACTGTAGCCAAAGTTTACTTCTCCACATCGAGAAAATACCTTCAACTAATTTTTTAGTCCAATTTAAAACACAGCAAAAATTGAGCTTTGAAAGTGATGACAATGAAAGTGAGTGACAAGACAAATAAAACACAGACGAAGCGGAGCTTCACACCACTTGCGACGATAAAACGCAAACACAGCATTGCGACCTAGCGAGCAGAAAATGAGACGAAAATAGTAAATGAAAAAATGAAATAGTAAAATCAAAAAAATATGTTCTGTAAAAAAGCAAAAAAATAGTCAAGAAACGCAAAAAACTGCATCAGATAGGTCATTGATTTTTAAAGGAGTGGCCATTAAGCTGACAATGCTTTCATCGAGCCAAAGACAGCAGCTCAAAGCAGCTCATTGACACGAGAACCAAAAAATGCCACAAAATGGGCCCAGCTAAAAATGGACGTGCTTGTTTAATATTTTTTGAGTTTGTTGTAATGATGCGGGATGAAAAAGTGTAATATCAAAAATTGGGCTTTGTTGTTTCTCTAATAAAATAAGTGTAAAAAATTTGAGAATTTGGATTTTTCCAAGATCATGAAATGTTTCAAATAAAATTTAGGAAGCCACCGCTTATTCACGGAGGTTTCCCACAACATGTTGCCTGGATTAAACCGTTGATATCAGATTCGGCTAAGCAGTTTTCGAGAAGAATCAATAAGTTTCAAAAAATGGACAAGAAATCAAAACTTTGAGTTACCCGAGGTCCTTAACATTTTTTATTAAAAAATTTGGTTGTCGCCGTTTATACAAGAGAGCTTATCACAAAATGCTCCTTTGATTGAACCCAAAATTGCAGATTTGGGATGGTAGTTTTCGAGGCACATCAAAGTTTTCAAAAAACAGTCAAAAATCATAATTTGATTTTTCCGAGGGCCATAACTTTGTGTGAAAAAGAAGTGGCGTAGCTGTTATTATACTGGAGCTTCGTACAACCTGCTCATTCTATTGAGCGCAAAATCTCAGGTTTGGGAGAGTAGTGACTTTTCCGAGGACATTACTTTTAGTGAGAAAGAAAACGAGCTTGTCGCTTAGGCAGGGGAGATTCCCCTGTATTTTTTGTTGAAACCAAAATCCCACAATTCGGGGGGTTAGTTTCAGGAGAAATCAAAAGCAGACGCCCCCCATCAGGGATTTGACCCCCTGCTGACCCAAAGGGTCCCCCCTTTGGTACTTTTTAAGAAATCCATTTTTGGCCCACCGACCCTAAAATTTTTCTAAAGGCGCCTTGGGCGCCAATATATTCTATTTTTGAGGGGGGAGCGCGCGCCGAAAAAACGCAATTTTTTGGTCAAAATTTTCCAAAAAGTGCCTAAAAACACCTTTTTTGGTTTGTTTTTTCAAATTTTTGCCTGCGGCGCAGAAAATGTTGCCAAAAAAGGGACTAAACCATGCTTAGGGAGAGCTCAAAAATCAATTCGGTCAACCTAAAAAAAAAAAAGGTCGACAAAGTTTTCAAGATTTCTTTTGAAAATCCGCCCCCCCCCCCTCGAGAAAATCCTAGATCCGCCCCTGTATTGTAACGTTAATAATTTGAAGTTCTTTCAATAATTAGTGTTCCGACCGCTCCCGAAGATGCGTAAGGAACTATGGATTATGGCCCGTTTTTAATTTTTCCAGCCTATTTGACCAACTTCAGGAAAGCTTGCAAGGTGTCGAATGAGGTATCACAATAAAACTCTATTTCTCGCGATGCGGATTCCTAAATCATCAAAAGATCAGCTCATTGCCAAGAAAAACTGGTCCAAATAATTTCGATTTTCGGATTGCATTCGGCGAACTACGCCGCGGCTGACCTCCTCACCAATTTTAATAACTCATTTACTTCAGTACAGTCATCGTTAATGCCTACTTTCTTCACGTTTTTATCGCATTTCTAGGAAAAAATTTCTTAGCAAAAAAGCAATCAGAGCCAAAAAAAATTTTTTCAAATAAGAACAAATTGTTTTTTTTTATTTTATTATTTCTTAGATAAGTATGGTCCGGCTGTTCACTTTGTACTAAGTTAACAGCAACCAGCTGTCCTTTTTGCTTTTTTGATAGCTATTAAAAGAAACTTTAGTTCTAATTTACGGCATCAATTTTTGGTCCACTAGATCCCAAATTTTACTTTTATACAAAAATTGTTAATTTATAATTTCCGGGAGCCCACGCCGGAAAAAAACTCGTTTTATCGCAAAAGGTCAAAAACTGCCACAAAGTAGCGTTTTTGATCTGTTTTTCAAAACTTCACCTGCGTTACAGAAAATTTAGCTCATCCTTCGAGTAAATCCTAGAGCCGAGTTTGCTGAAAAAAGACACGGGTGTTAAGATACCGCAAAAATGCACAGAAATCTATAACATTGCCAAGAGAGACAGTTGGAAAAATGTCGATAGGCTCAAGGAGACAGAACTGATTGACAATCTTATAAAAAATTTCAACTTTCAACAAAAAAAATTAGGTTTTTTGTACCATTTTTTGTATTCGATAGCGTAATTTGTCTTTTTTAAGTAAACAATTCTTAAAGAATTTCAACTGTGGCAGAAAACGAAAAAATAGCCAACGAACAGAGACCACTAAACAGTAAAGAATCAATGCAGAAACAAAAAAAGATTTGATTTTGGACAAGCAATTTTCGAACTTCGAAGAAAAAAACCGCATGGCCTTAAAGCTCTTTGGTTTTCAAGAACAATATATGACTGGCACTTTTGAAAACTAAATCAATTTGAGAAAACTGGAGTGTTGGCAAAAATTTTAAATCCGCTCAGAAATCTCCACATTAAATTCCACTTTCGAAACTAGAAATCGATCACGTTTTTTTGCGTCATTTCAATTTCACACTCGTATTTGGATGAAGCAATTTGACTGCCTTTTAGCAGATGATTTTCAATTGAGCTCAAAAAGTGCATATATGCCTGAGTCAAATGATATTCCAATGATTCAGCTTAGAAGTTAGTGAACAGCGAATAGTCATTCCACTTTAAGCTATGCCATTTGGGAGCCTATTTTGGCTCAGCTTTCATACTCATGAAAAAAATAGTTTCAAAAGTCCAACGTCTCCAAGACATCACCGCAGACTGATCTGACCTCAAAAATGCAAAGAAAAATACTGTTTCAAGCAGTTGTGGAAAAAGACACTTCTCATTAACAATTTCTGACAACGTACTGACTATACTACTATATGATCAAACATCGAACTCAAATCATTCCAATCAGAAGAAAACACCGAAGTATTAATGTTATCTTTTAAAACACGGAGTTGTTATGCTCCATTCCTTGCACAAATCTTTCCATTCCTCCATCGAAAGAGCAATCACTAACTGTTTTCCTTTGTTGTTTCCAGAATTAGAAGGTGTAGATGGAAGCGCTTTTTTATTTCTGACTGGACGCAAAATTGGCAATTTGTCCTCGTCCAAAAACAAGTTCACGTGGCCGTCTCGCACCAAAAATGAGAGATAGAAGATGTTCTCGACTGTTCGTCCGAAAGAAGTAGGATCTAACACCATTTCAAAGAAGTCTACATCACCATTTTCGTACTTGGAGGATTCTCGCTTCAGCGCTTTGTAGAACCGTTCCACGACTTCTGTAGTTTTTTGAGCATCTAAAACATTGCAAATAATTTCGTGTAAGCACGTTTTATTTTAGAAGTCACAAAAGTCTTAGATCATTTATCCAAAATACGAGGACGATTTTTTTCAACTTTTCGAAGAGATACCTTGCACTGTCTTAGATAGTTTTTGTCAGTTTTCTTAAAAAATGTAAATAAAAATATTGAAATTATATTTTCTCTTTCAAGAAATTTTTAATGGCCATAATGTAGTGATGTTTCCCAGCACCATATGATTGCGAGTTCAAATCGCACGTGCGCTGCATTTCACAAGGTGAGCTCTTGTGAAAATAGCCATGACTTAGTTAACCTTAAATAATTAACCTTCGGGTTAGGTCTGTGGCTGGTTAACTGAAAAATAAAATTAAAAATCGAAATTTTAGAAACATCCAAAACTGATTTCTTGTTTTCAAGACAATGAACACTAATCAAAGGAGTACAGCAAAACAGGTAACTGAAAAATCGGGGCAAATCACATCGGTAAAAAAAATTTGACCACACCAGTTGAATTGGCCGACTGAGTTTCGTCCATGGTCTCATCGTCTCCGTCAACTGCATTGACCACCACTGGATCTGACTGGGGCATTGGTTTCGCCCGCTGGGTCACCTTCCTCTCCTTCACCACCAGAGGGATCTCTTCGTCCATGTCCTTGTATCTGAACGTGTCAGGGATCCGCAGTCCAAAACAAGCTGTGCGGTTTCCCATGTCAGAAAGACCCCAAACTGCAATAGAAGAATAATAACGAAATAGATCAATGATAAATCAATGTTTTCGGTTGTTCGCAAAGTTAAAAAAAAAGATTTAAAATATTGCTTCTTGGACTAGATTTTAATTCCATCGATACATATTTCTCTGGAAGAACCGGTACCAACAGAAATCAATGTGCATTAATAGAGGCGCAGTAGCGTATGCCGCTCACAATCATGAAATGCGCTTATTGTTTTGGAGAAAATTGCCGCGCACGCTAAAAACAACTTTCGCTTAAAAAATATCATCACATGAAAAAAAACTTTTTCGCAACTAACAGAAAAAAATCAAAAGTTTTTTGACAATTCGGTGACATAAAAGTTGAGTTCGATTTTTCGCAACTCAAGTTTTCTGACAGTTCTGTGACATGAGAGGCGAAACTAGCATTCAGGACATTAATATACCTGGTTCGCGTACTGATGAAGACAAATTTAAGTTTGTCATGACGAGTGCTGCTGCCTGCTCCATGAAATGGACTGGGTTGAACTTGCTCTCTAGAGAAGTCTTGTTCATCAGGTCTGTCGATATCTCACTGATCTGCCTCATGTACTTGAAGTCATAGTAGGCTTCCTTCGTGTCTGTCAAAAATCCAGCCATCGTATTCGACTAAGGTAAACAACTTGAACAGTGGTGAATGAGGAATTTAAGATTTTTCTGACGGAACGATGGGGACCGTATTTTGAAAAAATGTTGACATTTTTTCAGGCCAGCCGCTCTGGCGAAACTCTACAATGACAACAATTGGCAAAACTTTCTGGGTCACAGGCAACTTTCTGGGTCACAGGTTGGAAGAAAACCCACTAAGCACGCCACTTAACTCAAAACATAAATACTAACAACAAGTAGCTGCAAAGTTTTCTAATAGTTTCAAATTAAAGATAAATTGACTTTTTCTTCTAATCAAACCCAGGATTAGAACTGTTGAGGATTATACTATTGAGTGTAGTACCATAAAAACACATGTGAATGCTTCCTCAAACAGTTCGCTTATTATCAAGACAAGGATAGCCGGTTACTGCGCAAGTTCCCACCATAGTCTGTAAAAACAAGAATTTTTTTTTTTTGAAATTAGTGTCGTTTTTCTACGTATTGTGATAAAAGGATCTGAACGAAAAACTAGAATTTGGGCATATTTGACAGTCATAGTAAAATAGACAAAAGTGAAAATGAGAAAAAAAAATCTAGAAGTTTTTGATTCCTAAAACTAACGATGCTTAAACTAAAGATAAATAAGCTAATGTAACCCTGCTCGCTGGCTTTACTTGCCCAAAATTCGACTAGAACCAAAAATTTTCCAAAAAAATCCCTGGTGTCTAAAAACCCGTTTGAAGTTTGTATGTCGTTCGTTTCACGATTGAAAGGGCCTGAAGATGATATATCACTCAACCCAGTCTCAACACACACCCGACTACAAAGTTTCTCCTCAGTTTTAATGGCCGGAACGAAAACTGGTCTGAAATTACTTTTCACTTAACGTTATAGAAATTGATCCCGATTTTGAGCAATTCAAATTAGCGATATATCATTCCCTGCAAAAATCGTTTTGCTATTACTCCAAGTCTGCTGGTAAGTTTTTCAATGATTTCAAATTCAAATACTTCAAAATACTATATGATATTCTGCTCTAATGATGAAAGCGAGCGAAACCGTGCGACAATTCAATTCGATAAACAAAAACATGATAGCAAAAAACATACAAATTTAACGAGCTTTGGTTCAATAAATTGCTAAGTTAAAACTAAAATCGAAGAGTAAGAAACACTTTTATTAAAGAAAATTAAGTTGTTCTTAAAACCTTCGAAAAAAGCAAATCATTTAAAAATGCGTCTCCGAATTGAAAAAGCGTTGGATAAGCTTTTCCGTTTGATTTCTTTTAAAAATTAAAATGTAATGGCATTAGTGGTAATTCTTTAGTTTGTTTTGAAAGCTGGATGAAGCATCATATGCAAATAGTTAAATGAAAACTCTTGATCCTAGTGAAAAGTTCACAATCCTGCTGGTCATTTCTCAATGCTCAATTTTCGGTCCATGCCTTTTCTTTATACACCAATGACATTCCCAAAATTTGCAAACCAAATATCAAAAGCGAGATACATAGGATCGATTGGTAACAGGAGTTCTAAAATTTCAATTGTACCGACAGTTTTGTACCCATCGTTTTTGAAAACTTAAATTTTCCTAGAACCAGAACCTTAATCATTGTATACGAGATTTTTTCAGTAATGAAGATCAAAAAAGCGATTTATAAAAAGCAGCAAACTAATTAAATGCAACCGGATGCTTATACTGTTCTTTTCAAAAACATTTAGTTTTCAAGCCGCTTTGTGCTGTTTGAAAACCCTACTCCAACTTGTTCACTGGTTACTACTGCGTAGGCTGTTGGGTGTCTACTGACCATTCAGCCCCTAATCAGTTCTAGTCGAGATGCGCGTTTAGATGAGAACGCCACTGATAAGTGATCAAGTTCGAGCTTTGTAACTAAACGGGCTAGAAGGTGCTGCTATTCTGACAACGAAGTTTTCAGAACCGTTATAGAGACATTAACACTATCTGGTTAGAAACTCTCCATAGTTCACAGAATTTGTTATACTCCACTCGTGCGGCTAGAAGATCGCTGGCAATTGTATAATTTGACCAAAATATATTATAATTGAAGTATTTATTTCTATATATTTTTCAAAATTTCATGGGGCAGCAATCAGTGACCAAATTTTGTAAATTTAATTATTACGTAACTGTAAAATGTTGCAATGACAAATTAAACCTTATTTTTCTCCTTGATTATTTCAAATTTTGTTTAAAGATATATTGTTTTGTTGCGTTATACTATTATAAAGCGATTTAGTAAGACCGAGTTGACGCCCTCCTTCAGGAGTTTGACCCCTTTCTCACCATACGTGTCCTCAATTTGGTACTCTTTTACATCCAATTTTGCCTTAAATTTTTGGCGCGTACAACCGCTCCATTCTCTCGCCCCGAGAAAATCCCAGATCTGCCTCTACTCTTGGGAATTTTATTGTCGCTTCCATTTTAATACGATGAAATCATTCAAAAAATTACCTGTTTGAGTAAATTCTTGACAGTCGACACTGCCTTAGGATCCTTCAACTCCTGCTGTTTCTGACTCAGTTCATCCAGCAAACTCACATACTTCTTCTTCAGTCTCTCTCTGTTTCTACTCGCACTTCTCTGCTTTGTCTTCTTACTCACTAACACCCCTGTAGTCCCCCCTCCAACCCCACTCCCTCCGAACATAGGGGTCATTGCACTGCTGTTTGTTGTGGCCTGCGAGGACGAGGACTGAGATGATACTGAAGATTGTGTCGATGGTGGCATTGTGTATCAACCTGAAAAAGAATAAGCCAAGCTATGAAGAAAAAATTTAGTGGACTACAGTCCTGTATTATTCTAGAATTACTATTGAGCATACCACTTTTCCAATGATTTCAATCATCTTTTACGGAAAATTTATTCAAATACTGAGGCGTGTCACCAAATGGGCGAATTGGCAGATTTTCTCTACAAAGGCGGAATGAAACAAAACCGGCGAACTTAGATCTTTGTTGTTAGTCGTAAGCTTCTGCGGAACATTTTAACAAGAAAAGCGGGAAGGATAGTGTTATCCATCTTGTTGGGAATATTCCACACACGGTACAAAATAAAAATTCGTATATGCTTAACCGTACTTACGAAGAAAGTGACGAATATATATGCTTGGAGTGACTTTTTATTCAAACCAATTGTGGCTCATTTGGAAATTCTTGGAAACTCGATACCTGGAACTACGTGGGCCCAGCCGAGCGCGCACACAACTATATTAGTGCAACTGACTGTTCTCTTTAAATCGAGTCTAACTAAACTAATCGTTTTATAATCGATGCTGAAAGTTATATGCGAACTATTTATGCGTTGTGAATTATCCCGAACTACAAAATCGTTCCAAATTGAATTGAGGCTTTCCAATTGGTCTTGTTAATTTCATATAGGACTCAAATTTTAACAATTAAAAATTCATATTATCAGCCTACAACCAGTTAAAGGGCAGTTGGAACATTTAGGGCTTTGCCCTGATACGAGCAGCCTTGGTGCTTTATAGGGTTGGAGACTCTTTACTAGCTAAGTACCATCCACAGAGAGGAAATAGTTGACAAGATCCAGCGGAAGTAGAGCTTTACATAACCTGTCGTATATCAGGTCGAAGTCCTGAAAGTTCCGACTGAATTTAATGATTGTTTGTTCAAAAATTGACGAAACATTCGAAATTATATTTTTTGTTTCAATTTATTCCCCCAAACGCTAATGTGAATTAAATGGATACATTTAGTGTCTGTCTGTTATAACGATAACGGTCGTGTCTTAAGCGTATTTTAAGTCACGAGTCTTATGCGTGTTTTAAGAACGCAAAATAGGGCGCGTTAATTATACCAGGTTAACCAAATTAAAAATTTTCAAATTCCCGTAACCTTACGAAAAACGATCACGGGTAAAAAATTACATTTGAGCTTCAGTAGCAATATCTTTTAGATATGATAAAAAAAAATTGTTGAAAAAAATTACTGAAAAAACACCGGCCCAAGCATAAATTTTGCGTTTTTTTGCATCAACAATTCCGATAAATAGCAAAACTTTTTGCATTGAATGAATAATAAGCGAGCGTACAATAATTTTCAGCAAATCATCTTAACTGCTGGCAAACAATGAAAGTTACCGTCACAGAGATCAAGCCCTATATTTAATAATTTTGCTATACACAACCAACAAAAATGATTAAGGTAACCCACAGGTAAAGTTGGAAAAGAGTTAGTGTCATGCTGCGCATATGTCACTGCAGTTATATACGCTGCAATTCTATGTGAGATTTATCTTAGTGGTGTCAAGGCCATCCACCAGTCGTGTAATGCTATATTCTCACGGTGCTAGCTAGTTTCTCATCTGTCTGCATATCGGCTTTCGTTACAGTCCTAAACTGTTATTATGTGTTTTATTCCAAAACCTAACACAATCATGTTACTCACTTGATTCCAACTTTATCTCAAAGTTCAATTCAAAATTCTATGATATACAAACCGTTACTGAAGTATTTGAATAAATCAGCATTGTCTATTAATTTATTTATTTCACATTTAATTTAATATTTGAATTTTACCGAGTTCGGTAAAAGTCAGTTAGTGAGCGCAAGAAAACAAAAACGTTTTTTTTTAGATCCTAACTTTCGAAATTCAAAGAAAGCAAAAGCCGGCCTTAAAGCTCTTCGAATTTGTAAGAAAATAAATGATAAGCGACACCTTTTCGATACAATTATAGCAATTTGAGAAAATCTTTCAACTGGTAAACTGCTTAATTCGCTTGGAAATCTGAAAAACAAGATAAAGTAAATTTGAACCTGAGCACAAACTTTTTTTGAAAACAAAAAAATCACCTTGATGTATATAAGAGTCAGAACTACATTCATTGACTCTTAAAAACATTAAAAGCCTTCATCTTTGACCAATCCGCTCTTTTAGCTTGCTAATGACGCTCCTAAAACAGGAATCAAACATTGTCTAAATGCGGAAATTTACAATTACCAACTCAGTTATGAAATCATTTCCAATAAGGAAACCATAAACTTGTCTATAGATAGACGGTCAAGCTTAAATATTCAGTTTTTCGAAAGTCGGAACAAATAATTATTCCGATAAAAAGAAAAGTTTTTTTTTTGCACAGTGAACTACACGTGAACGTACGAGCAGTTTCAGCAAATCATCTTAACTGCTGGCAAAAAAAATCTGTCACAAACAACAAAGCCTATATGTGATGTTTTTGCTGTACAAAGCCAATAACTATAATAAACATAGCTAACACAATTGGGAGTCAATGAACGCAAGTGAACAGAAAAAACTACCATGTTTTTGAGCAAATCCCAACTTTCGAAGTTCAAAGAAGACAATAGATGGCCTTGAAGCTCTTTGAATTGCAAGAAAAACTTATGACTGACGCCTTTTTAATAAACTTATCCCAATTTGAGACAGGTAAGTTTTTTTATTTCGCTCGGCAATCTGATAAAATCCATTTTCACAAATTGAACTTGATAACGTTTTGGGTGACATTTACACTTTTTCTGTTCGATAATGGAGATAAGACAAAGGATAATGGGTTTAACAAAAGAAATAAATTGAACTTACAAAAAATCAAAAGTCAAACCGCGAAAAGTTAATTATAGCCTGAACAACTTTTAGGACACAAAAAAATTTAAAAAAACAAAAAAAATCATCCAAACGTATATAAAAATCTGTACTACCCTAATCGACTCTTAAAAACATGCCCAAAACCAGGGGCGGATCTGAATTTTCTCAAGGGGGGGGGGGGGCGGATTTTCAAAAAAAATTCGAAAAATATGACCTTTTTTTTTTTAGGTCGACCAAATTGAATTTCGGAGCTCTCCTAAAGCACTAAAAAGACGCTGTTTTGGGTGTATTTTCTGCGCCGTAGGCAAAATGTTGAAAAATCAGGTCAAAAAAGCCGTTTTTGGGCACTTTTTGAAAAATTTTGACCAAAAAATCGCGCGCCCCCACAAAAAATAGTATAAATTGGCGCCCAAGGCGCCTTTAGAAAAATTTTAAGGTCCGTCATCAAAATGGATTTCTTAAAAAGTACCAAAGGGGGGACCCTTTGGGTCGGCAGGGGTTCGAATCCCTGAGGAGGGGGGCGTCCGAAAGCCCCCCCCCCCCACCTACCCTAAATCCGCCCCTGCCCAAAACATCAAACGCCTTAAACTTTGAGCGTTTCGCTCTTTTAGCTTGCTAAGGATGCTCCTAAAACTCGAATCAAATATTGTCTAAATGCGGAAAAGCTATATTTACCAACTCAGTTCGTATTTACGAGAAGGTAATCCTGCCAGAAAGTAATGATTTAAAATTATGAAATAGATAGGAATAATGCCATTATCTTGCTTTTTCATCTGAATGTGGTTAAACTGAAGAACGAAGCGGCACTTGAAGTAACAGAAAAATTAGAGAAAACTAGCTTCGAAAAAGGACGTTTAGGTCGAGCAGATTGAAGATACAAGAAAAAATACTACGATTGTGTATGTCGTTGGTTGTGTTCTTCGTAGGAATGTGCTTTTCATTCGGAGGCGCTGTAATCTATATGCGAAGGTTAGCAGTAGTTTTTGATTGTACTTTTAGAGCTTTGGAATATTTTTGCGATTAAGTTGGCAGAGGAGCTTAATTTAATTTGTCGAAATAAACGGTGCCTCTGAGTACTGATACATGATGCTGACATGCTCTCTGCATAAGCTCTAGAGCCATTGGATGCATAGTTCCAGACGATGACGAGAGGACGGTCAATCATTTGAGTATTTCATAGGTTGATAACAAAAAATTTCGGTCATCTGATAACTTATTGGGAGATAGCGCTGATTGCATGAAAAAAGTTTTTGCACTGATTTTATATTTTATTTGTTTTGAAACCTCTTAAATAATGTTGATATTACAGATGTGTGTATTACACACAAGATATTCCACTGATGAATTGTGAATTGTTTCATGCACTGCAGTAATGCTATTTTTTGTTCGATGACCTGTTTTTTGTTCGATGAAGAAATTGATAACCATAAAATTAAATCTACTCAGAGGGAAACAACAAAAATCCCTCTAGGGATACACTAGGGATACAACAAAAATTTAACGGCAGCTAGCCGAAAAAATAGGACAAAAGCCACAATTCAAATACTGAGGCGTGTCACCAAATGGGCGAATTGGCAGATTTTCTCTACAAAGGCGGAATGAAACAAAACCGGCGAACTTAGATCTTTGTTGTTAGTCGTAAGCTTCTGCGGAACATTTTAACAAGAAAAGCGGGAAGGATAGTGTTATCCATCTTGTTGGGAATATTCCACACACGGTACAAAATAAAAATTCGTATATGCTTAACCGTACTTACGAAGAAAGTGACGAATATATATGCTTGGAGTGACTTTTTATTCAAACCAATTGTGGCTCATTTGGAAATTCTTGGAAACTCGATACCTGGAACTACGTGGGCCCAGCCGAGCGCGCACACAACTATATTAGTGCAACTGACTGTTCTCTTTAAATCGAGTCTAACTAAACTAATCGTTTTATAATCGATGCTGAAAGTTATATGCGAACTATTTATGCGTTGTGAATTATCCCGAACTACAAAATCGTTCCAAATTGAATTGAGGCTTTCCAATTGGTCTTGTTAATTTCATATAGGACTCAAATTTTAACAATTAAAAATTCATATTATCAGCCTACAACCAGTTAAAGGGCAGTTGGAACATTTAGGGCTTTGCCCTGATACGAGCAGCCTTGGTGCTTTATAGGGTTGGAGACTCTTTACTAGCTAAGTACCATCCACAGAGAGGAAATAGTTGACAAGATCCAGCGGAAGTAGAGCTTTACATAACCTGTCGTATATCAGGTCGAAGTCCTGAAAGTTCCGACTGAATTTAATGATTGTTTGTTCAAAAATTGACGAAACATTCGAAATTATATTTTTTGTTTCAATTTATTCCCCCAAACGCTAATGTGAATTAAATGGATACATTTAGTGTCTGTCTGTTATAACGATAACGGTCGTGTCTTAAGCGTATTTTAAGTCACGAGTCTTATGCGTGTTTTAAGAACGCAAAATAGGGCGCGTTAATTATACCAGGTTAACCAAATTGAAAATTTTCAAATTCCCGTAACCTTACGAAAAACGATCACGGGTAAAAAATTACATTTGAGCTTCAGTAGCAATATCTTTTAGATATGATAAAAAAAAATTGTTGAAAAAAATTACTGAAAAAACACCGGCCCAAGCATAAATTTTGCGTTTTTTTGCATCAACAATTCCGATAAATAGCAAAACTTTTTGCATTGAATGAATAATAAGCGAGCGTACAATAATTTTCAGCAAATCATCTTAACTGCTGGCAAACAATGAAAGTTACCGTCACAGAGATCAAGCCCTATATTTAATAATTTTGCTATACACAAC